AGGGTACCTGTTGAAATGTCCTGGGCAGGGTGAGGCCCCGTTGTCCCCTTGCTGTCCCCTCTCTGGAAACAGGACTCTGGGCCAGGCAGTGAGGGTAGGGAGGCCAAGGAAGCAGCTCCCAGCTCCCTGAGGGCTGCTGGACACAGGGCTAGGGTGGCACCTGACAGTGCGTGCTGCCTCGTTAAAGAAGGCCCTGCTTCCTGCGGATCAGTACACGGTTATCCTTGTCTGCAGAAATCCTGATAGTGCGGGACCAACCCACACGCGGGGAAGAAGACCGAGTAGCCTGGAAACCAGGTTAGGAAGCTCTGTCTCCCTGGCAACCAAGGCAAGTGGAAAGAGCCAGGCCTCAGCCACTTCTGTTCCCCAAGGGCTGCCCTCTCATCTCATGTTCTGGACATCCTGGCTCCCTTCGCACTCCCCACCCCAGGTCATACACAAGCCAGGTCTCTCTCACCTGTATCATCTTTTGCTCTGTAGCAAACTGCCCAAAATTAAAGGTCTAAAACCTTATTTATTCTCAGATTCTGGGGGTAAGAATTTAGGCAGGGCTCTGTGGGGGCCTTTTGCTCCTGCTCTCTCATGAGGTTGCACTGGAAGACAGGCTGGAGCTGGGGCCATGGGCTGGTCTGGGACTGGGCCGGGGCTGTGGGCTGTGGGCTGTGGGCCATGAACTGTGGGCCGTGGGCTGGTCTGGGACTGGGCTGTGGCTGTGGGCTGTGGGCCATGAACTGTGGGCTGGGGGCTGGTCTGGGACTGGGCTGTGGCTGTGGGCTTGCCTGCAGGCTTTGCCCGGGAGACTTGCTTCAGAGCTCACTTGTGAGATTGCTTCCAGCTCTGTCCCTTGTCACCAGGGCTGCCTTCCAGCATGGCAACCGGCCATCCGCAGGATGAGGGATCTAGAGAAAGCCCAAGTCAGAAGCCGCAGTCGTTATAAACCAGTAGAAGTGTTGCCCGAACCTCTGGGCTGAGAACCGTTCCGGGAGCCCAGCCTGTGCTCGAGGGGAGGGAGAGAGACGTGATGAGAACAGCAGCACTGCGGCCGTG